ATGGTGAACCAAGGCTTCCTGGTGGTCTAAAATGGACCAGGGATGGTTTTAAATATCTAGGTGTCTTTTTAGGAAATGAAAATGTTGAAAAAAATAATTTTGAAGGCACTGTTGAGAAACTAAAAGGGCGACTGGATAAGTGGAGGTTTTTACTTCCTAAAATGTCTTATAAAGGACGTATTATGATCATTAATAATCTAGTAGCCTCTGCACTTTGGCACCGCTTAGCCTGTATAGATCCTCCAGCTGATGTTCTAACGAAAATTCAGTCAATTTTAATAGATTTTTTCTGGGACAAATTGCACTGGGTGCCAAAAAGTGTTTTGTATTTGCCAAAAGATGAAGGAGGACTTGGACTGGTACACTTGCAGAGCAGAACGGCTGCGTTTCGTCTGCAATATGTTTTGCAAAGACTTTTAAGGTGCTCTGCAGAGTCAAGTTGGACCAGCGCAGCTTGTGCAATTCTGCGAGGTATTGAAGGCTTAGGATTGGACAAAGCCTTATTTTGGTTGGACCTTCAAAGATTAAAACTGTGTGATTCTCTAGTTTTTTAACGTAACTTGTTCAAAGTCTGGTCTTTATTTAAGACAAATAGGGAAAGTAATACTTCCCTCTTTTGGTTATTGCAGGAGCCATTGATTGTTGGCTCAAGACTGGATTTATCAAGTGAGATGTATTTTGCCATACCGGAAAGGACTTTGTGTAATGCCCAACTGACAACAATCGGTCATCTACATCAAATAGCAGGAACTGCTTTTAAAAATGTGACCGCAATTGCTGAGCGGTTAGAAATTAAATCATACCACACAGTGGCAAAAGTGTCACAGTGTTTGTTGTGGTGACCTGGACTGGTCACTTGAGGGCGCTCTTTTGTTTTCGTTGTTTGTGTTAAACTCCATTTCCCATAGTCCCCTGCTCACTAATCCTGGTTTTATCGGTAACACCTGTTCATCATTAACCCAGCTATATATATCATGCCTTCTCTGTCTGTCATTTGCGTCTGGATTGTATTGTCTTCTTAGTTGGTGTTGTCGGTGTCAGGTTTTGGATTACCTTTTGCAACGTTTTGTCCTGTTATTATTTTCAATAAACTGCACATGGAACTTACCTTGTTTCCTCCTGGCATTCCGTGACAAAAAGCACTTGAAAAACGGAGATCAGCCCTTACTGGCTAAGAAACGGAATTGTTGGATAAGTACTCGAAGGGGTCTATAAATTGATTGTAAAGACCCTTTTCCAAACTTGAGTATAACCCCTTTTTTGGGTGAGTGCAATGGTATGCTGTTGGATTGTAAAGAATTGATGATTGTGGGTTCAAATTCTGTATTTGGCAAAGATTTGTATAAGAGATGTGTTAAAGCATTTAACAAGAAATCTTTGAATAATAAGTGTGACACACCATGGTGAAGTGTACTTAATTTTGATATCAATGAAAAACCAGAATGGAGAGCTTTGTACAAGTCGCCATTGGTCAAAAAAAACTGGGGATTTACAATGGAGAGTGTTGCATGGTGCCATCGCAGTTAATGTATTTGTCTCTTTGATCAATTCTGACATTACTGAAAATTGTCCTTTTTGTTTGCATAAAAAAACCTGTTAAAAACCTGTATTTGATATCTTGAAGAAGATTTTTAATTCTTTTGATGTGACTTTTTCAATGAAAATGTTTATTTGTGGTTTTAGATATGTGAAAAAACGTCGGGAAAAAGTCTCAATTGTTGAACTTCTTGTTACAAGAAAATAAAAAATTGAGCAAAATGTTTGTAGTAGTTTAGAAGCTGTTTTTGTAAAATTAGTCAAATCTAGGATTTTGATTGATTATCGTTATTATAGACTAATGCATGTTCTTGTATCTTTTGAAGCAACTTGGTGTTTAAGTGGGATTCTTTGTGAAATTGTTGAAGAGTTGTATTTTTCTTTTAAATCTCTCTCTCTCCAATTCGATTAAATTCAATTCAGCTTTATTAGCATGACTGTGTAACACAATGTTTCCAAAGCATTAAAAAAAATATATATATATCACATAAATAACAACATAAATAATAATAAATAAAATCAGTCTAAATAAATGAAAAGATAATGTCAGTATCGAGTTAATCATGTTTAACATCTAACATTGTGAATAGTTAATACATATTTTGCAGCTAGTGCAGCTGTGTTGTCATCTTCTCCAAGTAAAAAGGGTATTTTCTCAGTATAACTAAGTTCAGTAAATGATGGGATCAGGGCTTCAAATCTGGGGAGAAATGTTACCCTCACATTGTGATATTTAGGACAAATCAGCAGAAAGTGTTTCTCGTTCTCTATTTGCTGTAGATCACAGTGTCTACAGATCCTCTGCTCTTGATCTGTCCATGTTTGTCTATGTCTTCCTCTCTCTATTTCTAAATCATGTTTACTTAATCTGTATTTGGAGAGGATTAGTCTTTCTTTAAATGGTTTAATCAATAAATAATTGGCAAATTTAGTGGTTCTGCTTAGGGTTGAGTAGCATTGGAGTTTATTTTGGAGGTCAAAGTGTATTTTTAGAGATTCATCATGAGTGTCTTTTAGATTCTCTCCCTCTCTCTCTCTTTCTCTCTCTCTCTCTCTCCAGTGAGTTTCCACCACTGTGTGTTGTGTCTAAAGTTTAGGAGAGGATTTGGTAAGAAAGAGAGAGACAACATATTGTACCAAATGAATACTGTAAGAATTACAGTAACATTCAGATTCACCCTGGCCATCCTGCAGCCATTTTTAAATGACAAAATATATTTCATGTTCTTTACATATTGACATGATCTTGTAATTTACACAAACTTACAGCCATCTTGAGAAACATGCAGGACCAAACCAAAAAAATACTTCACTTACCATTTCTTAATAGGTAGGGCAATGTTTTTAAGATGTTATTTGTACAATCAATAGGGAAAAAAGCACCAAAAAAGCAAACTCATGGCAACAAGAAAACAACAGGTCTCAGAAAAATGCAACTTCAGCTGTTTTTGTGAACCATTCATGTTAGGCCAATAGATCTGACAGAAAACAATAGCATAAGATACTAAAATGTCTCCTTAATAATAATAATAATAATAATAATAATAATAATAGTAATAATAGAATGTCTGTTTATAATACTCTACATATTCACAATGTAGGTAGACCAATATATTAATCCTTGGCGCAAACAGCAATGGCCCTTTTTTGGCAAAAGTCTTATCTCTCTCATAGACAACACAAAAACACTCTTCCATATTATTCTCATTATCTGAAGAACGCAGTGTTTGGGCTTGCAAAGAACACTTGGTGAGGAATTAATTTGTATTGAGACTTGCCTTAATCCTTGTGGAACATACAACAACAAACCAGAGAAAACAACCTGTCTCAACTCCTCAAAGTTATAAAAGGATTATCTGAAGACAAACAATGCAAGACTATGCAAGTGAAATTAAATCATAAAATCTAACTGACCATTTCATGGGAGAATTTATAAGCAACTGCAAAAATAAACAAAGCATTGAAGGAATGAAAATAAGAGCTCCTCCTTGAAGTGTTAAATAACGTGCAGGTGTTGAAGCCTGTCCTTGTCTTTCAGCAGGCTGTCCATGGACACAAGTTTTGCACAAAACCTCATGCCATCAAATGACATAGAAAATTACTTCACATAGATGAGGATTTCTTTACTGGATTTCTTTAGAAGAAGACATGGTAGATCACACAATTTGACTGACCGTGACATTAGCCTGGGTCACTTCTCATTTATTTTTGCCTGACAGAAATGAAGATGCAAAAGCATAACTGAAAAAAATAAAATCCAAATAAACTGACTAAATAACTGACTAAATCCAAAATAACTGACTAACTGACTAAATCCAAAATAAGTGACTAAATAACTGACTAACTGACTAAATCCAAATAAAGATCATCACTTCATGATGCAAGTTAGATAACATGTGCAAGGTGTTGAAGACTGTCCTTGTCTTTCAGCAGGCTGTGCATGGACCCAAGATTAGCCTGGGTCACTTCTCATCTATTTTTGAAATGAATGAACAGAAATGAAGATGCAAAAGCATAACTGAAAAAAAAAATCAAAATAAACTAACTAATAAAGATCATCATGATGAAAAATACTGCTCATAATGGAGAATCATTGATTATGCATCTTAGGTAGTCCCTCTCCCTTTTGGGAATTAAGAGAACAGCTCACATAAAAATGCAGGAAAAAAAATCCCCCTAAGGTCATTCCAAACCTGTTTTGACATTTCAAGTCTTCTGAAGTAACACCTGAAAGATTTGAGTGAGGAATAGCCCAACATATTTAAGTTGTTATGCACGGATTATCCCCCTTTGTGTTACAGTAAAAAAAGTCAGTCATGGATTTGGAGCAAAATAACAAAAGTAAAAAAAAAAAAAAATTCTTATTCATTGTTCCTATTTGTGTCTCTGTTTGTGCCTGCTGTGTGTTCATGGTACACAGTTTAAGACAAATGAGAAGCTTCTGAAGTCTTTCAGGGCTTCCCCATCCTGAGAGAACATACTAATCAAACTATCAGACCTATTCTGAATGAATATTTAGCATGTCAGGTTCTTTCACTTCACAACAATTCCTGCATTGACTGAAAATTCAAGACCCAATCCCAAAAGAACAAGACGACCCTCTTGACGCTGTGATGTTTTGTGTGCAATCTGTCAGCTGAACGCTCTGCTGCTTTCAGTACTAATAAAAACAACAAGTGAACTAAAGGCGAAAATCATTGTCAGCCTAAAATAATATCATTTGCTATTTCATTCCACATCTAGTTCTTTAGATTGTGTATTTAGATAAAACATATATAGGCTTTTATACATTGCATTAAGCGCCAATATTCCACATCAGGGATGTTTCCATTTATAGGTGGCGACAGTACGGAAAAATCTTCAAAGCAACAGGTACACGTTTTCTAGCTGGAAAACTTTGAGAAACTGAGCAACGCTTTCATTACCACACAAGCACGCTGTGAATGTATAAACGCGGCACTTACACAAAGGCGTGGTAGATAAAAGCCCAGGATATTGGTCTCTCCAGCACGTTGTACAGGTAGTTCTGAATCCTCCGGTAGCGCGCGTTTCTCCGGCCGCTTTGCGCGCCGTACACCAGAGGCTTCCCGAGCAGACTCAGCCGAGCGCCCTGCTTCCCCCGGTCTCTTTCCGTGCCCGGTGCATCTGTGCCGGCATGAGACGCGGACAACAGTCCGTCCCCCGGCCGTGAACAATTGTTCTTCATCTTATTACCACATTCCACATTATGCAATCCGTAACTTTCGGCGTGGTGCCCCGGAGAGGTGTTCATCCAGAGGCCGGAGCCGACCTCATCTCCGCTGTGGTTGCGGGGCATGGCATCACCAACGCGGACCCAAACACGCGTGGCATGCGTATTGTTATATCTCTGATAGATGCGAGGGGAGAGCCAAGAAATGACCAACGCGAAATGTTAAAAAGACTCCAAATATACAATTTACCTCCGGCTGTGACGAGCGAACGCCACTTTCTTCGCTCCTGGTATGGACACACTTCAGAGGTGTATAAAGTCACAGCTGGCGCTGACCCACGAGAAGAGCCCGTCAAAGTGACTTTATCTGACCGCAGATGAGTCGTACTTGAACAGCTCGTGTTACTCCAGCGCGCTTTTGATGTCGCTCCACGCGCACGCTTGGCGTTACTGCGCACAGGAGATCAACTGTGCCATTCTGCGTGCTCATGCTGTAGAAGCACATATAAAGCGTTTCGGTGATATTCTTGTAACAGCACCCGCTATCTTCTCCGACGTGAGTCTGCGGTAGGCTCACATTTCTGGTAATAATGCAATACATAATGACGCAGACATGTCTTTGTCGCTCCCCCGGCTGCTAACTGACGGTTGTGGGTTCAAGCACGTGTTTACATAGTAAAATGTGTATTTGAATAACAACTCGTTCTTGAAATCGTAGTTCCTAAAGTTAAACTGATATCGAGTTCCCCAGTGGCACAACCCAAGGTTTCCTTTCAGGAATCATCTCGTTAAAAGCAAATCAAAACAATTAATTAATTAATTAATTAATTAATAACTCCGGTTTGCATTAAGAGCTGTACTAGTCAAGCTTTAACCTCTCAAATGATGATATCAAATTGTTGGATGGGGGTTTTACAGTTTTGTTTTTATTATTATTATTAAGGAGGAGGTAACCATAGCAACAGTTCTTCTCGATTCATTTGGAAAACAACAACAACAGTAGTAGTAGTAAAACCCAAGGTTTCCTTTCAGGAATCATCTCGTTAAAAGCAAATCAAAACAATTAATTAATTAATAACTCCGGTTTGCATTAAGAGCTGTACTAGTCCAGCTTTAACCTCTCAAATGATGATATCAAATTGTTGGATGGGGGTTTTACAGTTTTGTTTTTATTATTATTATTAAGGAGGAGGTAACCATAGCAACAGTTCTTCTCGATTCATTTGGAAAACAACAACAACAGTAGTAGTAGTAATAATAATAAACCAACTTTATAAAAAGCCCAACAGTTCAAAAGATATTTGGCGAGAGCTCAACAAATTGGATCCATGAATGGGCCTATCTATAGAAATTCGCAGAATAAGTCATTTGCATAATTCACACGCTGAATAAATTGGCAATAGATAGGCCTATTATTAGAATGACATCTCTATTAAAAGTTTCTTTTAAAATAAAGGCTCTGCTAAACATTTAGGCTATCGCATTTTCCCTTTTATCCAGAGCCTCCGTAGTAACAACTGTCAGACAGCCCATGTGACTCAACCCAAAATAAAATCCACACGAACACTGTGTTTTCTGTGTGGGCATGCTAGCCCTTCCCTACAGTTAAACTCTGTAGATCTCCTGCTGTATCATAACGATCCATCTGTGAGGAGAAAAAAATATTGGACTACATTATTCATCATACCTTCGGGAACTCCGACATATGCAAAAGAGCAATTTGAGTCTATTTGATTATCAAATTATAGGCGCTCTTAAGTTTAACTGTCCCTGCTCAACCAATGCTCAAGAGAAATAAATAAATGTAATTAGCTGCATTTACAGTTTTGTTTTTATTATTATTATTAAGGAGGAGGTAACCATAGCAACAGTTCTTCTCGATTCATTTGGAAAACAACAACAACAGTAGTAGTAGTAATAATAATAAACCAACTTTATAAAAAGCCCAACAGTTCAAAAGATAATTGGATCCATGAATGGGCCTATCTATAGAAATTAACTGTCCCTGCTCAACCAATGCTCAAGAGAAATAAATAAATGTAATTAGCTGCTGACCAACTGGCAAATATGACAAAAGATCGAACAGACTGCAATACAGGCGCGTCACACAAACTTAAGTTGAGAGATTCCGTCATGAATCCCATGCCACTGTCACTGCTGGGGAAATGGTGGCTTTGTGTTCTTCCCTCGACCACTGTGCTTCCTCTTCAGTTCGGTTCAAAGCGCCTTCTTGCGATCAGTAGTGAGTGAGCATCTTGTGTGCTGCAGCAATGAGCAACATTTGTTCCATACACTCTTAAAAATAAAGGTGCTTCACGATACCATAGAAGAACCTTTTTGTCTAAATGGTTGCATAAAGAACCTTTAACATCCGAAGAACCTTTCTGTTTCACAAAAGGTTCTTTGTGGCGAAATAAGGTTCTTCAGATTACAAAAAGGTAAGAAAGAGATGGTTCTTTAAAGAACCTTTGACTGAATGCTTCTTTGTGGAACCAAAAATGGTTCTTCAATGGCATCGCTTGAAGAACCTTTTGAAGCACCTTTATTTTTAAGAGTGTAGGCCTACTAAATAAATAACCAGTAAACGAGCGTTACCAGGATGGTGAAACCAAATTCAATTGTTCAGATTATTTATTTGTTTGTTTAATACCAAAAAGCATTTCGCATTGTTTCAGGACTCAGCATCACAATCTTAGCACCTTCTGTAATTCTCCAAATAAGTAGCCTACGTTTCCCCCTTCTTGCATATTTTTTTTCTGAAAAAATTATCATTTACACGTGGCTCACCATGGGCTGCATTACATTTGCTTCTCAACCTTATCTCCCATGACTCAGAATCCAGCATGTATGAAAACAGTATGCGATGGAGTTCCAATCGTCTACATTAGAGGAATAATTACCCTCAGACTCACATTCATTCTGGTTAATCAAGGGCTAAGAATAGAAATATACACTTCACCATCTGCGTGCTACAGGACTGGTATTAACTAGACTCACTCTCTTATGCGTTTTTTATGGTGATAAACTTGAGAAAATGATCCAGTAAAGTCCAAAATGGAAACCACTTCTGAATTCCATGACCTCTGATGCTGCAACCCGCACCATCACTTGCCATCAGTCATGAGTGGAGCACTGGGGTCACTGGGGTCACTGGCTGAACACAGGGACACGGATCAGGCTAATTGCTGTGACGTGAGCTCGCGAGGCAACAGGGAAGGGCATGCAATCATGTTGCACTGCAATAGACTGCAATATAGGTTAAGTGAACTGCATATAGTTACTTTTTGCTTAAGGCGGAGTTTATTGATTATTTTTGATGGTAAGTAGGCTACATTAATCTGGCTACCTGTATCTCTGTTTTAAGTATCCTGATGTGGGTATACGGTTCTTGATTTTAGAATGGATCAAAAGATAGGCTAGTTCTTGCTATTAATTAACTCTAAAATGTACGATTTAAAACGAAGGCGACCCAGATGCTTCATAATAGCATAATTCTTCTTACGTCTGAGTATTGCAAAAAGTTCATGATTCTCCACTGTGCAATTACACGAGCTGATTCTCTGAAGAAGATTCTAACAAACGTCTGCCCTCTGCTGGTGACTGTAAGGATAACTCAAGCGGCACCATTCAATCATCATTGGTATGGCAATAGAGCAGACCTAGGTACGTTGTCACAAATACATACTAAATATATTTAAGGAACTGTACAGTTTGGGTCAAAAGTGCTATTACAACGTTTAATGCAAAATAATGCAAAAGCTGTGCTATTTACAGTTTAACTCCATGTAATTTTTACATTTCTGGATAATTTCATGTAGCATATTTGATCTGTGTGTGTGTAAATGGAAAGCATTCGTGGTCCAGAGTGTGTAGCCTGTGCGGACAAATTTACGTAGCCTAATTTTCTTTTTATAATCATGATATATCATGATATGTGCGTGGTAAGGTTTATAAATCTGGCATCTGATGTTCTGGAAGGCGCATAAGTGTTTTGTGTTACATATATGAATTAAACTATGAAGAATGACTGCTAAAGCCTACATGTCCTTGTCGAGCTATTTTTCTCAGTGCCTCTCAAAAAGTGGTGGCAACTGAACCGACTGGGACATGTCCCACCCACGAATGACACCTGTGATGTTTTATACCCATTTAAATTCTACACTTATTCACTTTTAACTACGGCTTTTCCCTCAATAAATTCCTAATTTGCTGCTTATTAATAGTTAGTAAGGTAGTTGTTAAGTTTAGGTACTGGGTAGGATTAGGGACGTAGAATAAGGCATTAATTTGTGCTTAATTAGTACTAATAAATGGCTAATATTCTAGTAATATGCATGCTAATAAGCAACTAGTTAACCCTCTATGGTATGCATTATGTTCTAACCATGAAATATTTTTTTAAATAAGTTTTTATTACATAAAATAGCTTTAATTATACAAATCAAAAAAATATTTTTGAGAAATAATTTTTGGGGGGTATTTAGGAAAACGTTGCCATATGGCAACAGTGTACCACAATGGAAACTGGACAAAAAAGTAGTTTTTCTATTAAATTATGATTTTCTTTTCTATTTAAATGGTCATTTATTTTAGATATTGATAGATGTTTATACTTGGAACTCATGCAAACCAAAAGTAAGTAGGTTCCTATCATTTAACCTTCAAAATGTTACTTAAAAGTATTATAATAAACGTATGAGGTCAGCTTTGCGCATACGCGGAGAGATCGAAACAAAACAACGGTCACTAATTAGAAGTACAAAACGAGGATTTGTAAAGAAGAATGTCGGAGGATTTCGATATAAGCCAAGAGGAGACTGGTTTTCCTTTGCTAAAGTAAGGAAACTTTGCTTCCTTTGCTCCTGTTAACAAACGTTGGTTTTCACGAGACTCACCAGCGCATGCGCAACGCTGACCTCATACGTCATCCTCCCGGAACTGCTTCCATGTACAACTGTTGGCACAAGCTAGATTAAAGTGATTATTACATTTTGAATATGGATATTTTTCTTACAAAAACGCATCGATTCGCTACAGGAGGCCTTTGTTCGCCCCCCCGGAGCCGTGAGAGACACTTTTTTTTGTGGAAGGGGGCTTTTTATTTCACGTCTTTTGAGCCGAAGGAATGCAACACCCGCTGAGTACAACGATAGAGCTTGAAAGATCAAAGGCACTTTTTAATATAACTCCGACTGGATTCGTCTGAAAGAAGAAAGTCATATACACCTAGGATGCTTCGAGGGTGAGTAAAACACAGCATAATTTTCATTTTGTGGTGAACTAACCCTTTAAGGCCTACCCTTTTAATTCCCATAATGCAATATATTGTAGTTTTTTCCGAATAACAAGGAAATGAGTAGAAATTAATTGTTGCCATATGGCAACTCCATACCATAGAGGGTTAAGAGACCCTAAAATAAAGTGTTACCGAAATAAACATTTCACTTTATTTTTAACATAAGAC